CACTGGTATCTAAGTCTTCCGCTGTGCTATCTTATACCTTGTATTGAAAGGTCGGTTCTTGTTCTGGTCTGCACCTATACGGTATGCAACACTTCCCCTCCTGGCGTCTCAACTCCCCCACCCCCAAATGACACCCAAAAAGGAAAAATTGGTGTAGCATCCCAAACAGCTCGCACCCTGTGCCCCTTCCCAGTCCCAACGGTGGCCCAATTCCTGCTGCTTCCTGGGTCTTGCAGGGCGTGTCTCGTGAGACCCAGAGAGAGAGAGAGAGAGAGAGAGAGAGAGAGAGAGAGAGAGAGAGAGAGAGAGAGAGAGAGAGGTGATAAACCATAATAACTAATCAACAATTATTTATGGCTTGGAACCTCAGCAGAGCTTCAGCAAATGTTGCTTGCAAATCCTACCATTGGTGGGGAGAATTCCTATGAAGTCTTTGTGGACGGGTTCAGTGCTCCATCCTAGAAAGTTCAGCTGGGCAGAAAAGCCGTCTTAGTTTCCTTTCACATGTGAAAGTAGAGTTTGCACTGATTTTGCACCATTCCAGCATCGAATCACATCAAGGTATGTTGTTGTTGCTGTTGTGTTTGAAAGCAGCTCTTCTGTCTTCTCATCCATTTTTGCCTTTTTCCTTTCTTTTGACCTTCCCCTTGATAGGTCTGTGTTGGATGAGAATGTCGCATTTATGACATCTGCGGACTCAGCAATCGTGAGAGTTCCAGGAGCGGTTAGAACAGGCGACGGCTGTGACGGGGCTATCAGATACCGGGCTGCTTTTCCTGAAATCAAACCAAAAGGCGCAAACTTCTACCCACCCGATATGACCAAACAGGTTTGTCTCTGTTCTTAGTCTGCTTGCATCTCGAGATCGTGCATGCTTCTGGAATTTGACATCAGCTGTCATCAACCGGAAGCTTCTATGTTACATCCTCATTGATCTGATGTCACCAAACGATAACCGAAAAGCAATTAACTGTGGCGGCAATGATGATATGTAGACACCGTTCTCAGATATAGGGCCTGGTTCCACCGCTTGACCTATGCACGAATGGTGAATGATTAAAGCACTGGAACGTGGCAAGCTGCATTCACCATTTCTGCTATTGATGAGTGGCTGGAACGAGGCTCCTATTCACATGGTTATTGCGAAAGCCCCTGAACATGACAGAGGGAAAAATGCCAAACCTGGAGAGCAGTGGGAATGACGACGACAGAAGGTGGTTGGTGTGCGTGACGGGTGGCCCAGAGACTGGAGGGCCAGCCCGGGGCCCCTAATGTGCCCCGCCCGGGACCTGCATAATGTGTGTCTGGGTACTAAGTCAAGGTCTCCCGGCCATTATGCGAGCCCCGGTTGGCTACAGGCATGCGGCCCCGTGCAGCCCCTACAGTCCCCCCAGCATTGTGTCTAGGGCAACAGGGGTACGAGGCCGTGCTTATCTCTTCTGCTTGCCGGTGATAAGCAACCTGCGGCCCCCAGAATAGATGGGGCTCTTGTGGGAAAAAAAGAAAGAAATGCTAAGCCTGTGGAGGGGAGTGAGAGAGTCTCTCTCTCTCACTCACAATAAGCAGCAATTCTTCAAAGGACTTCAATGGGATCAAACGCATGGAGGGAGAGAGTCCCAAACAACTCTCTCTCTCTCTCTCTCTCTCTCTCTCTCTCTCTCTCTCTCTCTCTCTCTCTCTCTCTCTCTCTCTCTNCTCTCTCTCTCTCTCTCTCTCTCTCTCTCTCTCTCTCTCTCTCTCTCTCTCTGTCTCTCTGTCTCTCTCTCTCTCTCTCTCTCTCTCTCTCTCTCGCGCGCGCGCGCGCAGGCGCAGGCGCGGAGGCAAAACAAATATACATACCCTAGTGTCGTATGGAGTCCTGCATTTTTGAAGTGGGACAGACCTAGTACTGACTGGATGACATTACTCACGCTTTTGTCTTGTTTTCTGAAAGGAGTGGTTGGCCCTTGAAACTCTTAACATTATGTGATTGCCCACAACTTGAAATCTGAACGTGTGGATGGATAGTTCAATTTGTCTACCACTCATCCGCCCAGCACATAGAGAGCATCAGAATTCACAGTGTTTCTGCAATCACGGATGCCTTTGAGGAAAGAGGAAAGAGGAAAGAGGAAAGAGAAGGCGCATTGTAATTTTCGTCTTGTTTGATGGGTTGAATTCAAACTCGTCTTCTTCCCACTTTGTCATGCCTGCAAACAGCGGTACAGCAACTGGCGACATGCGCCCACACAGTACTCAAGATATCGTAACCAGATATGAATTCTCTTCAACTGGCTATGGCGACTGGGCGCCCACACAACTCACTGTTCGCACTCTGGATCACCCTGGATGTCCCACACGCAACACTCAGTATCATACACAACACACACACATACTATGCTACAGCTATGGCAGCGCTAGCTGCCTCTACCCTATCGCTACACTACACTTCTCTGCCCACTTCGCACTGCAGACCGCCTCGCACAAGCTGCTAAGGCAGCGCTTCCGCCTGGCATCCGCAGGAATGAATGACTGAATGGACGCAGCCTCTTGATTTATACTTCTGTGCTGCATTGGTCTGCCCTGTGTCCCTGGCCCATGGTGCACACAGTTCCCCCCGTGGTACTTGCTGGACCGGACTGGTACTTTCTAGACTCTCCCTTGACTGTATGACGACGACCCTACGACGCAGTGCAATTGCACCGGGGTCCTACTATTTGACCTTGCCACTCGTCCTCATCTCCAACATGGGCTTGCTTTAGTCACACCACTTGCCCACTTGCCTGCACCACTTGACCACTTGCCTGCACCACTTGACCACTTGCCAACCTTCTAGAAGGACTGCAGCTAGCCTTCTAGTCTATAGGTCTACGGATCGAATCCTGGCTACCTATAGACCTACGACAGACCTACCTACCACTGGCCGTTCTACAGGTCGCAGGTTGAACTCTTCGAGTTGACGCAGGTATTGTACACAGGTAAGTTGGGAAACTAGGGATCGAGCCCTGGGATCTACCTCAGCTACCACGAATTGGTGAATACCGTTTCAGGGTGTACGATTGAGGCCATTTTCTGCACATTTTTGCCAGGTGGGAAAAAGAGAGGCCTCTTCTTGACAAGACCACTCAGATTGTCAAATAATGCCGGAGCACAATTTTGTTTGTAACATGTCTTTTCTGCCTTTTCTGAGTGGTTTCAAGAAGTTTTTAGTTGGCTCTTTCATTGTGTTTGAGATTAAAAAGTAGAAAACGAGGACATAAAATCCAATCATCCATTATCCACCCAAAGTCCCAAAGGCCTATCGAGGACAGAAATATGTTTTACTTCGCTTGCAAATGAGAGGCGGCGGCGTTGAGATTCCTTGGCAAACAAGAACGACTGCCTTTATGAATATGCCTGTTGAAAGGTTGGAAACAGTGCAACCCAGGGAGGCGGAGGGGAGAGAAGTGGAGGGATTGATAATGAGACATTAACTCAAAATTTTGTTTGTAAATCTCTGGAAGATAGGGAAGAATTGTGCCTGTGTTGGTGGGCGGCAGATAGTAGTACATCTCTTCTGTGCTACTGGTTGTATTTAAGGTTTTCAACTTGGAAAGGTAGACCCCTGTTGGGGGAGAAGGTTGTAGGGACCACACACATAGCCGAAGGAGAACGTAGGACTGAGGAAAGGGGGGAGGGAGGCGTAGGTGAAATCAGACTGGACTCATCTCGGTTCCGACATGCATGCAAACAGATGACGACTCGAACTGGCGCAGTGCGCCCACACACAAAGCTCAGAGATAAGAACGTGGCCAGGAACACAATTCAGATTCAACTTGTCTTGAATTGCGAGGAATGAGCCCTTGTGGGTCCCTTATCAGACATGCACGTGTTCTGAGCAGAGGCCCCCGGCAAGCCAAGTGCCCGCCCTAAGTGAAGGCGGGCCTGAATATTCACCAGAGGCCAAAATTCGGCATTTTTCATATGTGGGTACTCAGGCTGTTGCGGCCCGCCAGTTGGTTGAGTGGACGCGTGAACCTCCCTAACCCACGTCGAACAATTTGGCCCAGGCCGTGGCAGTTGCGCCTGGGCACATACACCAAATGCAGGGCCGATACCTCACGAAGTGGCCACAGGCCTACACAAAAGCAGCATTGTCGACGTACGTACCCCGGGTCCTGTGCAAATGCAGCAAACGGCCCAAGTCCGAAGACTCAGGCCGTGCCCAACTGTAAAAGGCCGCCCTCAACTGTAGCATTGGGCCTGGGCGCAGGTCCTGGGGCCCGAGCGGAAGCTACTGGAAGCTTCCCAGCCAGGCCACACGCAGCCAAGCAGGGGCTGCCACTTCCATATAGGAAGGAGGGCAACCAGGGGTAGGCATTCTGGCCCACGCAGGCAATGTGGTCACGCTGCTGCGTTAGAGGCTGCGTTCTGTGCTGAGGCCAGAGCGCTTGCGGGCGCGTGTGTGGTGAAGAGGGGCGCTGCTGGGCAGCGGAGCGCAAGCAGCCATAGCCGGGCTGCAGGGCGCTAGGGGGTGAGAGGGCGATTGGTGGTCTTCAGGAAGGAGGCGAGTGTGGGTGGACAGGGTCTGATTAGGGGAGACTACATACGTACCTGGTGCATGAGAGAGGTCGGCTATGGTGTTGACGTCATGTACATTGGTCCTCGAGAGTCGAAGTGAGCCTGTTGCAAGAATGCTGATGTAGGTAGGATAGTCGAGTAGTGTAGGCGAGAAAAGGTTAACCGACCCCCCATGTTTCGCCTCAATTTGTAAGAAAACCATAAGGCCATTTTAAATAAACTTCATACCGATGTATAGAGTGCACTTCTCACTAACATATTATACAAACAAAACAAAAAAACAAAAATCAAAAACATATGAAACAGCAAGCCAAAAGTGCATTTTCATGACATTTTGGCAAAAAAACTGTCATCAAATTTTCACTCCAAATGACATCAAATTTGACACACAGAAAGCTTGTCCAAATAAAAAAGCAGGCAAAAAGAAGAAATCCAAAAACACACAAAAAACCCTAAATTCAGGATCATTCAGGATCATCCATCGTTACCTAGGGCCGAAAAGTGGGGGTCCCTGTTAACCGCTTGTGTTTTACTTCTCGCCTATTCAAGTGATGGTCTTTCACTTTGTATGATAACTTTTTTCAAGAGGGGTTCCCCGCTTATATGCTTTCAGCGGTTCTCCCATACCAACGTAGCTACCCGGCAATGCCACTGGCATGACAACCGGTCCACCATAGGTTGACCCATCCCAGTCCTCTCGTACTAGGGATGGCTTCTCTCAGTTCTCTTCAAATCACCAACGGTAGATAGGAACCGAACTGTCTCACGACGTTCTAATTGTTATGTTGGCCACTAGCCTGCTTGAGCCTGTTGTTGCTCAGTATACATACACTAGTAGCACTCTATGTATCTCTACATAGCACGGACTCTACCTTCAACTTGTTTCAAGGCGACTATACTAACCGCCTGAAGTTGTTTCACATATAGTCTCTGAGGATCCTACACAGACAATGTTGGGCGCCAGACAGACAGGAGCGACTTTGGATACTGTGTTGGTGTGCCCTGAGGGCTTGAACATTGGCTCATTGCTTCATTGTATTGCTCTTATTTGTATGGAATCCCGATGCATTTGTGCTCTCTGCTTGTACACGACTACTTGGACACCTGTGTGATTTCGCAACTTGGTTTTCTGTATATCGTTCCCACTCATATTCCTTGCAATTTGGTATCGGAGCTGGTTTGAGATCGCTGCTTACTTGGCGCTGGCAACATGGTTACTTGGTACGCTGACGATACTTCTGTGCAGTAAGGATACTTTGGCGCTGGCTTGAAATAGCGGGGCCCAGGTAG